ATGTACATGTAATTCTGAAACAGTTAATCTGTCTTGTAATTATGAAAGGAGGGTCACTATTCATAATTTCGCGCCAAACACCACGAGTAAATCTTAGCGCCTTTCCCTTGCCCAAGTTGGAATGTTCTATCAAATAGATGAAATAGCTTCAACCAAACTAAATAACAAAAGAGCGTTCTTATCGCCTAAATATCGAGGAGTGGAAAGTATATTTAACGCATACATGTAACATATCGTATTTAGGCAAATACCACTAAAGCAGTGAAACAGTTATGAATGGTTAATTTTTTTTTTATTTTCCTGTTATTCACGAAAGTGGACTATTCCGATTACCTACACTTTCATGATAAAGGTTGTGTGTTTTACCGAAAAAATACCTCGATCGCCCTGCGAGGGTCAAGGAATAAGATTCCATTATGTTCAATAACTTGCTATGACAAAAAAAATTGTTTATATAAAAAGTCAATTAAACAGTCTTTTAAAAATAGTTGTCTTCAAAAAAATTTCTTATTATAACAGTTGTCTTTTCTATTAATTTAATATGACACAAGTGTGCACCAGGGAAAACAATGGTCACGTTTTATACTTACTATATATATTTTTTCTTGAAAAACTATTACTTATAACTACGATTTTAACTGTGTTTCCGTGATGCAAAACAAAAGATAGTAGGTATTGTACTTCATTTGCACATTAATTCTTTTCTATTTCTACTTTGAGAAACAACTTAAACCAATTAAAGAAGACGTGTAATGAGGATTTAGATTATAAATGTAGTTTGACACAGAATTGCAACGTACCGATGTCGTGACAATCCAAGTATTCCTTCACATCTCATTGCTCCTTATGTTACTTTCGTTCAAGCAAACGCTCGGCTGCCTCTGTAAACCCCTATTGCGAAATGTCGGAGTTGACAGAGACCGCCGCCATGTTGGTCCCGCTTCAAATTTTTGATTGTTAATATCTCGAGTTTGGATTTATCAATTCAAAAACAAATTATATATTCAGCCTAATCTAAAATGTTTCTATTAGCCATACCAATATAATTCAAAAATATAGAAAAACAAAAAAGTTAGAAAATTCGACTTTTTTAATTCGCCTGCCGTAACGACAGGAAGTAGAGACGACGAACAAAAGATTGCGTCCTGGAAAGTACTTATCACGATCTACAATCCCTGAAAGTTTCATAGTGATATCTTTTACCGTTCTTGAGATTAACCACGGACAAAATGTCATTTTAAAATCAGAAAATTGTCTGTAACTTGGCACCAGAAAGGAATTTCCAAAAAATCTCTCGGATAAAATAACTTCAGATAACAACACATTGTTCCTGCAAATTTCTTGAAAATCCATCCAGTAGTCTTCGAGAAATCGCGTGCACAAAATTAGATGGTCAGAAAAATAATAATAACTAGAAACGATCTCGTTGCGAGCAACGAGAGGTCTTCCGTCTGATCTTGAAAAAAAAAGTAAAATTAAGCTAAAAAGGGGATTAAATTTTTTTTGTGACAATGGGGATTGAACCCAATGGGGAAAAACCAACTCACTTTTTATATCTATCTGTAGCGCACACCACTACGCTATTGGAACTACTACTCTTAATGTTCCTGTATATATACTTCTACAATAGTACACCTGTATAAGAATCATGAAAGGCGGGCAATTATTCATAATTTTACGCCAAACGCCACGAGTAAATCTTCGCGCCTTTTCTTTGGAATATTCCATTGAATGGGCGTGATATTAAGACCGTTATTACAGTGAAATTAAAAAGAAGAACGTTCCTAAATCCTAAAATTTGAGGTTTAGAAATTATATTTTGCATTCTACACATTCTATATCGAATAGAGGTAAGTTAAACTAAAGCAATGCAATTGCTATAATTTAAAACCCTCTTTTGAATTTCCTGCTTATCTCCAGAGTGAACTATTCCTATTAGTTACACTTTCATGAAAAGGTTGAAATGTTTCGACGAAAACATGTATCGCCCTACGACGGTCAAGAAACCAGATACCATTTATGTTTAATAACTTGGATTGTATCGATCTTTGAGAAAAGAATGTTAATTCAAATCACTAGTACATTAAACGATCTTTTTAAAAATATTTTATTTTGGTCTTTTCTATTAGTTTAATATGACACAAGTGTGCATGGGGTAACAATGTTTACGTTTTATACTAACTATATAGATCGGTATTGTTTCTTGAAAAACTTTTACTCAAACTATGATTTAAGATCTGTTTTCCGTGGTTCAAAGATAGTAGATATCTATTTCATTTCCACATTTAGTCTATTCTTTTTCTACTTTGATAACCAGCCAAAACCAATTGTAGAAGACGTTTGAGAAGACCCTGGAATATATCTTTAGTTTGACACAGAATTGTAACGTAATTACTACGTGACAATCAACGTACTCATCTACATTCCATTCATCCTTATGTAACATTCATTTAAGCAAACGCTCAGCTGACTCTTTAACCCCCTACTCGCGAAATGGCGGAGTTGACAGAGACAGCCGCCATCTTACCGCTTCAGATTTTCAAATGTTAATATCTAGAGTTTAAATTTATTAATATTCAAACAAATTATATGGTAAGCATCAATAAAAGAGTCTCTATAAATATTCTAAAAATAAATGAAAAATGTTGAAAAACAAAAAAGTTAGGAAATATGATTTTTTTTTAATTCGCTTGTCGTAACGACCGGAAGTACTGACGACGAACAAAAGGTCGCGTCCTGGAAGGGGAATATCACGATCTATAATCCCTGAAAGTTTCACATTGATATCTTTTACCGTTCTTGAGTTTAACCGCGGACAAAATGTCATTTTAAAATCAGGAAATGTCCCGTAACTTGGCACCAAAAGGGAATTTTGAAAAAATCGCTCAGATAGATCAAGTTCATGTTACGACACATCTTTTCTGATAATTTCATGTAATTCCATCCAGTAGTTTTCGAGAAATCGCGTGCACAAAATTTTGGAAAAAAAATAAAAAGAATAATAAGAAACAGTAGAATAACTATAAGGTCTTCCGTGAAGACGGAAGACCTTAACTAGATACGATCTCGTTGCAAGCAACGAGAGGTCTTCCGTCCGATTCTGAAATAAAAAACGAAAAATCTAGCAGAAAAACTATTAAAAAAAAAAAAAGATTTGCACACGAGGGGGATTGAACCCAAGTTGTCAGCATGAAATTCCAACGCGCTAAATATTACGCTATTGGGACCTCTGCTCAAAATCTACTTGTATATACCTCTGCAACAGTACTTCTGTCTAAGAATTATGAACGAGTCACTTTTCAAAATTTCGCGCTAAACGCCACGAGTTAATCTTCGCGTCTTTTCTTTGGAATGTTCTATTAAATAGGGGACTTACAATATTCAATGATATTCTTTCTTGAGAGAGCATTACATATAACTATGATTTAAGATATGTTTTTTTCCCTGACGCACAAAAGATATTAGGTATCGAATTTCATTTACACAATTAGTCTTTTTTCTACTTTGAGAACCAACCAAAACCAATTATAGAAAGATGTTAGTTTGACACAGAATTATAACGTAACTACAACGTGACAATCCAAGTAGTCCTTTACATTTCATTTATCCTTATGTTACCTTCATTCATGCAAACGCTCGACTGATTCCGTAAACCCCTATTGCGAAATGCCGGAGACAGCCGCCATTTTGGACCCGCTTCAGATTTTTGAATGCTAATATCTAGACTTTAGATGTATCAATATTCAAACAAATTATATAGTAAGCATTATAAGAAACATCTCTATTTATATACAAAAAATGAATGAAAAATATTAAATAACAAAAAAGTTGAAAAATTGCATTTTTTAAAATATGCTTCCGGTAGCTACCGAAAGTACTGACGACGCACGAAAAGGCGATTCTGCAAACCACAAAGTCATGATCTATCATCTCCAATAAGTCTCCAGTTCATATCCTCAGCCATTTTCGACAAAAGTGCGCGACAAAATTGCATTTTAAAATCAGGAAATTGGCCATAACTTGGCACCAAAAGCGAATTTTCCAAAATAAACAACCGACTGCACAAGTTCATGTAATGACGCATATTTTGTGAAAGTTTCGTTGAAAACCGCTGAGTAGTTTTCGAGAAATAGCGTGCACAAAATTTTGTCAAAAAAAAGAATAATAATAATAACTAGAAAAGAAACTCGTTGCGAGCAACGAGAGGTCTTCCGTCCGATTCTGAAAAAAAACCTGCAAAATTGAGCTGAAAAAAGTGATAAAATTTGTTATGAAAACAAAGGGCATTGAACCCGGGTCGTTAGCATGAAAATCCAAACCGCTTACTATTACTCTATAAGAACCAAAGCTCTAAATGTACTTGTATATACTTCTGCAACAGTACATTTGTTTTCAAATAATGAAAGGCAGGTCACTATTCATAATTTTGTGTCAAACAGCACGAGTAAATCTTCGCGCTTTTTCTTTGGAATGTTCCATTAAATAGGTGCGATAGCTTCGATGGAAATGAAACAAGAATGTTCTTATAGCTTAAATTTCAAGGTTAAGAAAGTATATTTAGCATATTTACACATTCCATATCGTATATAGATAAATAAAACTAAATCAGTGAATCTGGTAAACTTTTTACCTTTTTTTTTTTTTTTTTTTTTTAATTTCCTGTTCATCCCCACTAAGAACATATTGATAAAAGTCTCATTTTATCATTGCTTTATATTCTTTTAACGAAGGGGATTTAAAGGGCTTATAATTATCTTGATATTGCATTGTAAATTGTTTCATTTGAAGAACACTTACATTATTATACATAATTATGCAACATTCAATATCTGATAGAGTCCAGTGTTCCGATGGACAAATATTTTTTTTTAAAAATTGCCAATATTTAAAAACAAAGTCTACAACTTCACAAATTTCTGTGTAACGTTGGACAGATATTTACGATAATACGAAATGTAAAAATCCTAATCACAAGAAAACAACAACATATACATATACATTCAAAATATTGTAAATTGATATCTTTCTCTTTGAGCGTCGATTTCGTCTGAATCGCATAACGGTATGTGCATTTCAACATTTGACGCAGATACGTATGACATTCGGGACATTACTTGACGAAAGGTCTCTCTTGAAGCACCCTTTTCTTTCATTTCTAGATGTTCAGTAGGATGCTTTTGATCAAATATTTCATTATATCGGTTCTTCACTTTGCAAAAAGTGGGTCGGCTGGTTGGTGACAGCAGAGAGCGTTGATAATCTTCCACAGAGTATTTTTTATTACTAAGCTGTACAATGTAAAAAAAATATTAATATTTTTATATATGAGCAGGGTTCTCCATCGTTTAAATATTGCTGTGTTGCAGAGTTTACGCGGAGCACTGAAATTTCGCGGTATTTTTGCGATCATATTCGCAACTGAATCATTATTCATTATAATTACAGAAAAATACATGCACACACTTTTTAAAAAAATAAAATCGCTAATTCGTTACACAAATAGTATGGTCGTACATATATTGATAAAAGTAAAAACACCTGTTCTGAAATTTCTGGTCGATACAGTCGAACTACTCAACATTTTTAAAAGTAAATTTGTCGTGATTATTTGTCAGTTTTCTTGATCGAATTACAAAAAAAGAAACTTCAGAATAGTAAAATACTTTTAAGAGTTCCTTGAACATGTTGAAAATTTTACGGAATTTATTAACATAAATTAAATCACTTCGGTACGAGGTTATGTTTGACTTACAGTGCTAACATAATTCTAGGGTCGTGGCTCTATAGAAAAGACATATTTGAATTTTTTTAAAAATAATACAATCTTTTTTAATGCAACTACAAATTACCGTTACATGCATGGAAGTGTGAAAACAAATTATTTGTCTTTATTCCTTCATGCGTAAAGTCCGCTGAAGGTCTAGGAGATAATTGATGCAAGTTGAAGCCCTGCCCCTAGTAACTTAAAAGTGCTCTACCTTTTAGAATTGAAAGACAGTAGAATTGTTTGATTAAAGTTTCAGTTACAGAGAATTTATATGTTTAGATTTTCTAATTATCACAGATCTTACTGTGTTGGCAATATTTTTACTGTGTCGCACGCATAAAATTTGAATAGTTACTGTGTCGTCGAAAATTTACTGTGTCGGGAGCAAGACAGTAAAACAGCTCATGGAGAACCCTGTATAAGGTACACCAAGTCTAGTTATTTCATACACTTCATTATGAAAACAAGTTAAGGAAGGAATAATATATATACCTTAGTTTCAATATTCCCATATACGCATACAATTTCACGGACTAGTCCCAAAACATTCGCGGCATTGATTTCTTCATTGGCACTATGTTCTTGTTTCCCTTAAAAATTAATGGAATGACATGCACAGTTTTATTTTATTTTTCACTTTTTTGTAGCATAAAGTACAAAATCTGTGTAAATTCTGCAAAAATACCGTTTCTGTGTGATTTATGCACAGATGGAGTAAAACACATGATGATATACTGTGTAACTCCATTCAAGTATTTTAAATATCAAATATTTTTTTGAAAATTTGATTTAAAAAGGATTTGACTTACGATTAACTCTACTGCTCTTTCTTGGTTTTTGAAAAACTTCCAGAATGTTTTTGACAAATTTCTTCACGATGTCTAGCATTCCAATTTTTGCAGCTGATGCTACTGTTTCTGCCCTCACTGCCGAAATACTGGTGTTCAGGATTGCCATAAAGATGGTCAACATGAACATTATAACACATAAAACGTAAACTGAATAAAAGAATTGGGCTGATAATGGTGCTGCAACAATCAGGGGGTCAAGCTTATTCTTACCGATGAAGGTGTTGGCTAGACTTCCACAAGTCTGATAAATTGATTTGTAGCTTTCTAATTTTGAACCAAAGAGAAGATAGGCGTAAAGAACAAAAGAAACGAATAAAATCAACAAGAGTGCACCAAAAGCCAATAAATCCTTTCCCACATTTGAAATCACCGAGATGACCTCAGTGAATCGTTTGTTGTATCCGAGAATTTTCAGAATTTGTATTGTAGATACAAAGAGAAGAGTTGCAAAAAGGACGTTGAAGGCATTATCCCACATCACGATATGTCCATAGTTAATGAACCGATTGGCACCTGTCAATTTATCGTCATAAAACATATCCATTGCCGTATTTGTGTATTTCATCCGTAATATAAACGCAACAAGACAAGAATAAGCAAGGAATGTACACAGACAGTCAACAAAATTCCATGGTTCTTTGATAAAACGTATACAGCCAATTTCCCTACACTGCAAAATTATTTTGAAAAGCATGAAAATGTAATAGAAGAGAAAAAACACATAGCACATCACAATAGTGAAGCCTAGTGATGATAAATTTAATACAGGTTTAAATGCTTGAGTGTCAGTCCACGTAAAAGCACTGCCTACTTCAGAAAACTCCACTAAGTACATGGAATATGTAAAAAGATTGACATTTGGATTGTATATCGTAAACTCAACAAATATTGCACGTGTCTTTCTATCAATCCAGTTATTGTCCAAAAGTTCCTTGAGTAATAAGTGAGCATTCACTTTGTCTTTCACAAATTTAAGAATATACCCCCCTCCACTGTAAGTTTTATATTCTCCCATCCTGGACATCCCCCAGATTTCAACGGCGTCCGTGTACCTCCAGGCCTCGGCAGTGTAGAACCTACTTTTGTAAAGTTCGCTTCCACAAATGGTGTCATTGTACGGTTTCCATCGTAGACAATATGAATTTTTGTCCTCCTCGGTTTCTGAGTAACTGTCCACGCAAGGGTAAGACCACGGTAAATAGGAGTAGGGACATGTGCCTACAAATAACAAGTACAGGTTAATTATGAAGATTAATTGAATGATTTTATATTGTTTAACGTCCCTCTCGAGAATTTTTCATTCATACGGAGACGCCACCACTTGCCGGTGGAGAGCTGCAAATTTTGTCCTATACTCGGCACTCAGGGCCATTGAGCAAGGAGGGATCTTTTTCGTGCCAGCACCTACTGCGATACCGGACCACAGTCTCATCCGAAGGACCGGTCCCCACGTCCCACGGTGGGATTCGAACCTGTGATGTAAGGATCAACTCCTTACTTCGTGAATCTAGAGCGGACGCTCTAACCACTGCGTCACGCGGACGCCTCAATTATGAAGAAGCTAAAATCTAAAGAAAAGTTTATTGGTTGGTATGGTGTTACAGTATTTACGGCATATTGTTACTGTCTTTTTGGGGTGTTCTATCTTGTCTTTCCATCATACCAAAAATACGTCGGATAACTTTGAATTTAAACTCACGAGGTCAAAAACAAAGTCAGTGTTCTACGAAGCAATTTAAAGGGGGAGGGGATCGTGTGAAGTTTGAAATATACTTGAAATACTTTCTACCTGTTTTCATGCGAACCTGGCGGAGACGTGCTGGCCCAACCCGGATACTGGCCATATCTTTGAACCATTGACGATCCAAAACTGTCAATGGTTTTCCTGCATAACTTGCATTGGGGTAATACGTTGGAATAAACGTCTCATTCATCCAGCTTATGAAATCCTTTCTACCTTTTAACTAATAGATGTGAAATATTGCCAAGACTACAACATTACATATAGGATGACAAATGTAGAATATTAAAAATGTAACCAAAAACAATTCAAATATAAAATAAGAATCATGATTAGATTATTTGATTTAGAATTAAATTAAAAAATATAGAGAGAAATACGATTATGAAATATTAAGAAAACTTACTGAAGAGAAACCGTGACTTCCTAAAAGTAAATGATTATCAAGGTTTTGCTTCATGCTCAAAGAACGCTGATCACGCTGGGTGAAGCTGATTCCATAGATTGCAAGAATGTATAGGATGAACACGACCAGACTGGTCAGCGCTGATCTAGCTTGAGTTTCCTCGCGACATTTCTTTCTCAATTTGTTGATTTCTTCCTTGGAAAATGTATCACATTTTGGTAAAACTTTGTTGGCTAAGTCTGAAAAAACATGGTAAGAATTTTGAAACATGCAAAATAGCTTAAACGTTTATTTAGCCATTCATGGTCACATCCTAAATTACGTTTATTAAAGTATCTATTTGATATCTTTCAAATTTAAATTAATCAAGATATCATTAAACGATTTGAGTTACATCGTTATTTAACCTTCAATGTTAGTAAAATTATGTATTCATGGTTTAATCTTACATTTAAAAAAAACCCATGTTCGTCTACACATAAACCTACCTGAAAAGGTTGTTCTTTGTGATACATTAGTACTCTTCGACGTCAATCGCAAATTTTCTACATTAACTTTGTGGAGCTCTTCCATCATCAAACTTTTAAAAACAGTCGAACAAATAATGGCGAAAAATAGAACCTTTATCGGATCGAAAACAATGAATGATTCCAAAATTGAGAAGGCAAGTGATGAAAGCCACTCATTTGATTTTGATTTGCCCCACTCCATACTGTAGAGGATGAGGAAAAAGCTCGATGAAAGGATAGCCAAAACAACACTGACCCATGCTACATAAAACACCCAACGTGGCAAAGTGCCTTTACTTGGAGTGAACACATCGCCATCAAGATTTGAAAATGATTTATCACTGGATTGTTCTTTTGAATTGGCGATCTTATGTGCAGCAGACTTAGAGTTTTTAGTATTTCGAAATACAAAGGCAGCAAAAGTAACAGGGGGAGTTGAGATAAGCATTCCAATACATGATACATAGACTGTACCGAATGACAATCTCAATATTCCGAAATTCACTTCCTCAACATTTTGATTTTCATCGGACGATTGAAAGAATATGGCGTTTGATATCATAGTAAGACAGAGAAGTGCCACTAAGCATGAAAGTCTTTGAACACGTGTGAATTTGCCTAGCTGGGGACGATAAAGCAGAGAAAGCCATAAATGATACACAGGCATTTGGGATTGAGCTTCGACGGAAATACGATCACTGTAAGAAAGTTTGTCTGGCGATGATACTGGAATTATTCGATCCAGCATACAGTCTTCATCATCAATACCCAACCATTTGTTGCAATGGAATGTATATCTAAAATCAAAATAGGATGCATATAGTTATTTTGTTAGCATTAAGAGTAAAAAAAAACAACTGGGTTTTTTATTATAGAAAGAATATACTAGTACATAGCATTGGTAAATTCTGTATGATATAGAAAGTCAAACAGTCAAAAACAAAACGGATAAAAATAATATTAAGCCACAGTCATCAGTAGAAATTTAAGTATATATATGAAAATTCAACATTTTCCAACATATTCCGTAGGAAATTTATAAACATATGAAGAATATTTAGTTTGTAAGACTTCATTATCATAAAAAAAAACAATAAAACTATGGAAGCTGAACATACCTTTCTTTCTGTTCTAAGTTTTCAATAATGATCTTGCTTAAAAACCAACTTTTGAAACCAGGTGGACCAGAATTGTCATGCCATATCCGAATGTATCTTAAATCTCCTAGGGGTTCATTGGTTCCAAAGAAGTACATGTTGACACTTGATGTCGAAAATCCCTATCAAAAGTTTCTTATCATATTATTTATACTCCGTATAGAGGACGCAAAGTTCATTTAAGAATTGACGCTACTAGTATAAAAATGTAAAATTGCTGCTTTTGATAATTATGCGACCGGATCGATAGATCAAGGGCGCATATTGTTTTTGCCCTGTTTGTCTGCAAACTTTAACCTCCGTCATAACTTTTGAACCATTAAAGATAGAGACGTCATAGTTGATGTACGTACTCCACTAATAAAGCTCTTTCAAATGACACCAAGGTCACTGACCTTGTGACATTCACTGTGAACGATAAGCTAAAAATAGTTTTTTCGAACCTTTGCCATAACTTTTGAATCATAAGAAGTAGATACTTCATATTTGGCATGTATACTTCACTAATTAAGCTCTTTTAAATAACCTCAAGGTCAATGACCTTGTGACCTTGACTGTCAAAAATAGCCTTTTTGCGCCTTTGCCATAACTTGTGATCAATTAGAGATAGAGATAGAAAGTTCATATTTAGTATGCATACTCCACTAATTAAGCTCTTTCAAATGACACCAATGTGACATTGATTGTGTCCTATATGCTTAAAATAGTTTTTTAAACTATTTTATCGGTTCAAAAATAAACCGATAAAAACAAAATGCACCGGGTGCATAGTGTTTCACAAACATATCTTGTTTTGATAATAATTTTGGAAATGAAGTCGGGTTTCATAAATATGCCTCATTCAGTGATAAGTTAAGAAAGAATTTATGAGCTATATATATTTATTGTACTTTAAACATTTTGAATGAAGCGCAGTTTTCTGAAACCCCCTAATTTTCTTATCGGTAGAGGCATTTTATAAAAACAGTTAACAGATCAGTGTTCTAATTATGCTTACTTTAAGAAAGACTATCTCTGCAAAGAAAATAGAAAAAAAAACCATTTAGCGCATTACTCATTGTAAAATAATTAAAATAAAATCCAAACCTCTTGAAATCCGTCATTTAGAAAACGAATTCCTGAATCATCATCATCACCAGTGAGTATGAAATATACATTAGACTTAGTACCCGCTCTTCTCCGGAATCCAGTGTATACACTTATCAAATAGAAGTATGTGTGCGTTGTGTTGTGGTCACAGAGAAAGGCTACCTTACTCTTCAAAATAATGTGAAAATACCCATTAAATTGTCCCAAACTAATTAATAAAGTATTTGTAGATTTTCATTTCCCTGATCGAGATATTTTTTTCTAAGATGTCTTGAATACAATGTATATTCTTGCCAAAATGAAGCAAATAATGATATACAATACTTTTTTACCCTGTTTTGGTCCTTTTTGTCCTGTCTTCGAAGCACAATAAGCAGTATTATATAAATAACAAAGACTACAACCAGTGCACCATACACTGTAGCATTGGAGGCGTCAAATTTACCCCAAACTGTCAGAAAATTAATCGCATTAGGTGGTACATAAAAGGAGGTGGAAAATGTATCTCCAACACATCGACAGACCGTGTTGTTCAAATCACTCATTGGCAACACCTGAAAAATAAAATAAACATATCATCCAGAAACAATACCCCTGGTCCCTGGTCAATGCATTTCCTTACACTTAATACTGAAAATAACACATAAACTTTATTTGAATAAAACTAATGAAAAGAAATGTTTCATAAAAACGATGGAACTATTAAATGTTCATTTTTGGTGATTGGTCAATTTAAAATTACACTGGTGTACATGTCTCCAAAATGAGCACTAAAGAACATGCTTTGAATACGATTTTTTTTAACTGAGGCATAGGTCAGACAAGTAAGTTGATGTTTCAAGGCTCCATACATGTGGATTCTCGATATTTAGAGTTAATTTTTTTCTTATTTCAACAAAATTCTTCTTGAACTATTGACATATTGTAGCATTATTATTCTTTGTATTATTTTTAAAATTACAAATTAAAAGTTTACGATCTTCGTGATAAAAAAAATACGAAATTTTTTATACCTGTATTTACTGTAAACCAAAAAATCTTTGAAAATTTTGAAAATGTTACGTCTGAAGTGATTTAAACATCCTTAAGTCCATATAACTTTTTTAAAAAGTCTATAAACAAGTATTTTGTAAGACCTCAATAAAACTTTGTGACGATATATATTAACTGTAAGGGGACATTGTTAAATGTAGCTGACATACATACTAAAACGAAGATCTTCATTATTTTAATATTTGAGAAAAGTTATGAAGAAATCGACAAAATAATTTTTGGAATTAGCCACATTTGGACTTGAAAAGAAAACAGCTATGAGTCAAACCAGCACGGGATTTTAAAAGGTGTTAAGAATTTTCGACTTAATCATATTTCTAAAAAAAATCTTTATATATGGTAAACAATGTTCATATTTAACCTGACACCCTTCCATCGTCCACGAGTTGTTTCCGTTTTTCCAGGTTCGACATCCCGTAGTTGTGAATATCATGCTAAAGTTTGCTTCAACTGGGACAAAATCCGAAGCGTTAACAAACAAGGTCCTGTTCTCTGGTGGCCCGATTGTTGTTTGAGGTTCAACAGCTCGTCTTTTTCTTGAACCAGAGAAATCATCTGGATCGGGGGCTAAAAACCATTAGGTTTTTTTTAATTTCTCAAATCAAATTAAAACACTTCATTATTTTTTGTAACCTTATATTAAAGGCAATGTCATAATTACATATGTATTAATATTGTTTGTGCATCTTTTTCTTTTTATCATTCGATTACAATACCCAAAACTATTTCTATATCTATTCAAACCCTATTTATTCGTTCTTTATGACTTAATCTTCTTTCGACTTTGAAAAAAAATCAAGATGAAAGCAACTTTACAATGATAAGCGTCACATTTAGAATATGTTCCCCTTCCCCCTAAAAACTACTAAAAAACTACCTTTCTCTAGATCGTCATATTTACAAATATTCATATTCTTATAACACTTGAATTCTTTACCTGTGAGGGGTTTTATGCCTAGATAGCAAAGCCCTTTTCCACATATATCCCCTGGAAGAAACACTTTAAATCCATATTTTGTCCAATCCCTGACACCCAGCACCTTCTTTAATCCAAACACACTAGATGTTGGAAATGTAGCCGAACTAAAATAAAACGAATACAATGGCACCTTCTGATGGGCTAAGAAGTCAAATCCATCAGGTTTTATGTAAATAATTCCTGCATCTTCATCATTTGTCATTTCAAAAGCAAAATAAATCATCTGTTCTGAATATTGTGGATTGATGAGAGGAATATATCTCTTAAATTCCAGGTTTCCTTTATTCGGAATATTGGAGTCCACAGATATGTTTTGTGGGATATCTATGACCGGAACTGAAGAGATTGCCTTGGACGCGTTTTCTCCATAGATGTAGGGATTCCTTAAGAAGTTAGTTACCTAAATATAAAAAAGACTAATATTATCATTTAAATTGATGTGAATTCCTTTCGATGTCATACCAGTGGCTTTTCATTTTTACACCATTTTCATAAAAATATACAGTATATGTCCTCTTTATATCAAAGGATTAAAATCATTCTAGGATTATTGAAAATACCGATAATTTAAGGTAAGAGACATGGGTGTCTGATCCATTCACTTCTTGGACCCCAGCAAAAAACTCATCATGGATATTTGCAAGATTGTTGATGGATGTCTTTCTCATCACTATTTCCAGTACATGTTTGCCATTGAATTGAAGTCCCTCGCCCAAAGCAATAGTTTTTAGCATTACGTTTAGAAAGACAGCCTGGATCTTTTTAATAATTGGAATAAATTTCCTTGCCTGAAATAATTATATGGATATTCTTGTCGATAAAGTTTTATGACATTAACATTTTCCGATGATTGATTGATTATTGTTTTTATTGACGCTGAGTCGGCAATATTTCAGCCATATTTCGGCGGCCCATGTACGAAGCTGAGCAGTTAAAAATATTTTTATCAAAATTACTTCGAAAAGAAATGACAAATTTGTTTGACTGTGTGATTAATTAGTACATGTAATTGAATTGATGATAATGAATTACACATAAATTACTTTGTGGAAAAATATACGTATACATATCATACTGTATTTCTTTGCTGAAGTTGAATTTCTCGCTCATGTGCTCGTATTTGATAAATCAAATTGGTTTGTTTGTTTATACTTTCATGGTTAAAAGTTACGTTGCCTTGATCTTTATTTAAGAGGCTGGTTTCTTGTAGGAAAAACTTTATGTTCAACATAATTTCTGCTTTAATATCTTCCTCTAAAAGTTCTACATCCAAGTTTTGCAGCCTCTGAGGTAGCATTTTGTTCAACACATTGTCCAGCACACGATGATAAACTAAAAGACACAATTTTGTAATGAACAACAATGTAGTTATTCTTTCAGTTGGAAAGTATTAGTTATATATATACAAATTTGGACGACTTTTTAAAATCATTATTTCTTGTTAAAAAACACTAAAGAATACAAATATGTAGCCCCATATTTTTCTTTGAAAATGAAGATATAGAATGAGTGAAATATCGTTAATATCTTTGACTCTAAAATATGAATGAAGTGGACCCCAAATCCGAATACAGTGTACAATCTTACCATTAGCAATGTCTGTTAAACTTTCTACTGCAATCGGAGATAGAGGATTTCTCCTGCTGCCATATTCCAAACAATCAATGAAAGTGTCCACAATGTCTACCGTTATGTCTGTCGATGAAATGTGCACAGCCAGGGGTAACAATGCCTTTGACCAGCTGAAGAAGCTTCACGGTTTTCTGTTTTTGAAAAAAAAATGCTTGTCACGAATTGTAAAGATAATCAACAGTTTGAAGATCATGTATTTTATGTTATTACAGTCTACCTGTATATAAACAAGAAACACAGGTCCCCCTCCGGATGTGTCGATATTAATGGACTCTGTATCACCGTTTACCTCTTCTTCAGATGTTGTTTTGTCAGTCTTTTGAAAAAAATAATAAAGAAACATAAACTTTGAATTTGTTATTCTTTCCTGCGAAAACCCCTCTCCATAAAGTTTTACGCACATTTTCAATGTATATTTGGTAAGTAAGCAGTCATGAAATCAAGTACGTACAAACGGAAATTGTTTGAAACCGGCTGCAACAGCTCCTAAAAAACTCAAGGTTTGAATGTCATTTCCTGAAATGTTGTAGTTGTTGAACTTTGAATCAAAGTTTTGAAACGAGGACTCAATTGTGGAAACATCTTCTAAATCTTTTGGTTGAGATATCATAGGCGGGATGACCTATATAATTTAGACATTACACGTCATATATGTATAACTTCTTGCAAAATAAAGAATGCTTTGTTTATTAGTAAAAATCAGTCAAAATAGAGAAATTCTGAGTTTTATTGATCTGAACAAATACATTTTGATATATAAAAGACAAAATTAAATTAACAAGGACAATACTGTAATATTTGAAGAATATGGTGCATAATCTCCATAGATGTCGAAAATCCGAACTCGGACAGTAACTGTGTATTTGAAAACTGGATCTCCCGGCTGTACAGGGACATCTAATATGCTACTCTCGCCTTAAATAAAGATTACAATAGATACTTCTGTGCGAATAAACAACAATAAGGTGACCAGGTAAGCTATGAATCAGGTTCTTTAGAAGGTTTTAGAATAAACAGAGCACCATTACAACTGATGTGTCTTCCACGAATCTTTTAAGTCGTTGACATGCTACAGGCTTTAGAAAATGTCTCTATTTTTGACACCAAGTGTTATGTTTAGGGGTATCGGTCGGAAGAAGGTAAAACTGGTCATGGAAGTCTTTGAATTGCTTTGCATTTAAGAAACTCCTTTGTGCTTCTTTTTAGCTACGTCATAGTTTATATTATAAAATCAATTGCTTTCTTCGAAGCACTTGAGAAACTCAAAAAGTACAATAATATCTGTATACATGTATCTCTCGGATGACACTTTTTCAAACACAATGTACGTTCATCTCTTCTGCCGCCATAAAAAGTCCAGATAGAAATCCAGTATGCAATATTTTATTTGAAGTCGAAGGGGAAGGTTTTTGACAAAACAACCAAGTGATCAAAAGATATGTGGAAGGCACGGCAGCGGTAGTGGTACGCTATAATTTTGAAAAGTTTCTTCGAAAATTTAATTAATAACTTACCAATTGCATCATGGTTGTTGTTCGTGCAAAAGGATCAACCATCAAATATCATAAGATATAAATTATGAATTTAAGAACTATAAATAAAACCTGGCATATGTAACAATCACTAGTTCAACTTTAGGGCACCCCTTGTTTTGTTTCAAGTTTTACCCTTCGAGCACCTCTTTGGTAAGCACCCAGAATTCATTGCAGAATTCTAGCCGACGGGACAGGTAACAATAGCCACGTTCCCGGCAGAGCTGTCCACCGTGAAAGACATTGTAATGAATCAAGATAGATTAGGTTAATTTGTGCACCAGGTTGTGTCAATAACTTAGAGCAAGTTTACTACTTTTTAGTTTTTTTTTTGGCACGGAAAACAGACCGTGGTAAGTATATTTTGCAAGTATTGTTTAGTTATGTTTTATGTGTATTTATGTATATAAAGAAATTAATGTGATCTAAATGCGTACAAAACTGCGTATTTTTATTAATCACTATTTTGTGTGAATTCATGGATCCCGAAGGGATTTTCCGTTTTTTATACTAAAGTGCCCTCTAGTTACAGCTATTAGCCTTATGCTTATCAAAATAATTTTTGGCTTCTAAAATGTGATTTACAAATTTTACTTGGTTGTGAGTATTTATATTGTTTCAAGGTAGAATAGTGTTTCGATTTAAAGATATTTATTTATTGTTCGTTTGCAGATTTGTTTAGAACAGTTGAATGTTAATTTCTGTCTGAATATCTCAGCGAGAAGGTTCTGTATAGAGGATATTTGGGTTGCATTAAATTGACATACTTTCTGTAGGGTTGCAGAAGGTGATAAAATTAAACCCGAGTTAGTATTTATATACAATCAGGTTCCAATGATTTGTATGTAGTAGTTACCCCATATCATACTGTTGGTTATGTGTAGATACCCGATGGGCGTGGTCATAATGACACAAGGGAGCGTAGCTCCTGAGTTGTCATTATGACCACGCCCATCGGGTATCTACACATAATCAACAGTGTGATATGGGGTAAATGACTTGTACCATAGTTTTCAAAAATCATTCATATGTAAGTCAGCATAGGAATCGGTCGGACTGGTTCGCGTGATTGAAACATTAAGTGTTTGGTTTCAAAGATGCATTTGGATTTTATATGATTTTATGCTCCTTCGTGTCCTTCTGACCACGTCCATCGAATATAGGGTAAGTGATTGTATACAATACTTTTCAAATTTTGCTACAAATTTTGCCATAAACTTGGCACTCAGGGTCATTGAGCAGTGAAGGATCTTCTTCCTGTCCAAACCTTCTGCGACTCGGGACCTCTTTTTATACTGTATAGGTCTACAGTGGGATTTAACTCCTTACTTCGTGACTTTAGGGCAGGCACTTTAACCACTGGGCTCCGCAAGCGACATAAAAAACTTTGCCGTGCACAGTGGTACACTGTACGTTGATTGAGATGTTTGTTAGGGGTTATGTATATTTCAATTCAATGAAAATTAGATCTTTGATCGGCTAGATCCGCAACCGAAAAGGTTATTTAAGAACAGTGGTGTACACGTTTTTACGTCAAGTATTTACCGCGTTTCCTTTGTTGGTTATCAAAAGAACGATATATTGGAATCTACTAAGCTAACGTCACCCTGGTCATTACACTATGCAAAAAAATGTTTTAAAAATCAAGCGATTTCTGAAGTTTTTTTCTTCACTTTTAACTAAAGTTAAAGTATTAATGGCCGTTTTTAACTGTTATTTATTACAAAATGCTGTAGACAATTGAAAATTTATACTCCTTTTTACTACCCTTAATTTGGTATAAAACCACCAAGATAACAAGCCCATATCATGCGTACGATTGTTTCATTTAAAAACCGTGCTTGATCGTTTTATAAATAGTTCTTTTGTCCCGACTCGATGGGCGGAGTTATAGAAAAGTGTGGGTTATGTACAGAAAACCCACACTTTTAACAAAAGAAATCACACCTAACTATGGTACAAAGTCTAGATATTCGGTTATACGACTCGGATAAGAATGTTTTACTCGCTGAGAAAAATCCGGGGTCGTTGAGTGCACAGTGTTATGTAAACATACCAAAATCTCCATAGTAAACCACCAAGTAAACCTCACAGGTTCTTTATAGAATCTGAATCGTGTAATGTCGAGGTATCGTTAGTAAAGAGGCTTTTTTATGCTTAATCAGGCAGAGAGTTTGGTTATGGATAACGGTGTAAGATTTTTTCATCACTAAAGATTAAGGTCAGTAGAAAAGAAGAATAACGTAAACTTTTAAAATGATGTGCACCCACAAGGAACAAATATAACAATTATATGACAATTTAGTGTAATACGGTCAAATTTGGGTAGATTACAAGTGCAATCAATGTTTTTGGTTTCATTAAGGAATTTAATTTAGGCCTGTGGCTTGTCAGCATATGATAAGAATCAAACACTGCAAATGCATGTAGCTAGAGTAAATTGCACTTGTTGTTCATCATGTAGCTATTACAGTCAGTCCCTTATTTTGATTTCATTATTTGCCGTGGAGTTGGTTGCATATATACCGGTAATTACATGGATAAAACCTATTCAGGTATTTATATTGTATATTTTGCATATTTATGCTTACTTTGTTTTTTGGACTTGGAACTGCCAAATGGTGATTTATGAGCCCCACCAGGCTCATAGTAAAAAAAAGGTTGGATACCTAATTTTAGAAATCCTATATGGTTGGATATGCGTGTATGCAGGATATATATATCCTGTATGGTTGCAATTAATTTGACATATTCTGCATGCTTGGATATATATATATATATATATATATATATATATATATATATATATATATATATATATATATATATATATATATATATATATATATATATATATATCTCCTGTATGGTTTGGTTACCAATTTGTCCTATATGGTTGGACAATTTTAGCTATCCTATATGGTTGGATATGCTGGTAACTCAATATATATCCTGTACGGTTTGGTAACTAATTTGTCCTATATGGTTTGACAATTATCTGCCACATCCTATATGGTTGGATATGCTTGTATACGGTATACGTTGAGTGGTTCAATGCCAGGGTAGATGTGTTTAATAGGCTTTTGAATGATAGCTTAGGAAGAGACTTTGGCTCTGGTGTCAGATTCTGGCGGTTTGTTTAGTTATGTTTGTGCTTCTAAAATTCGTTATAATAATTCACCTTGGCATGCAGTCATCAATGACTTACCTGTGTGTGCGTTCAGGCGTGACGTTAGCGAGAGTGTTTGAATAGGTTTTCTCGTCAGACGTTTTATTGCTGTTAGTGTAATTCTATGTAATAGTAAGATCATGTGAAGAGAAATCTTCGTTCTGAAGAATGTGCGGAGCGAAGCGGAGCCATTTCTTCATGACGAAAATTTCTCTTCATGTGATCTTACTGACTTAGAACAGAAACTCAGCCAATCAAATGAATCGAATGGATTAAAAATAAACTCCTCCCACGGCTGTGTCATATATAAGGCTCAACTTGACCGCTCGTTGTACACATCGAGCACGCAATCAATATCGAACACACGCTGTTTCAGAATGGACTCCCAACCCGTTCAGGTTAGCACGGGATTATATGAAATAGCTTGATTTACTGGGGAAATGGTATGGTGACGATATTAAAGTAACTGAACTAATGAATACCCATGTAACAAGAATCGTAGTATCTATATTTTTGAAAAATGGTTGTGTTAAGATGACAAGACCCTAGTCAGCAGGAGAGGGTATCGCTGTCTAATATCAAATTTGATGGAAATTGTGATTAGATCTGTCTTCAAAGACAATGTTCGTCTCTGATATACATGACGATTGTTGTATTTTCTGTATGTACTGAAATGGGAAAAAAATAATATTCAAAAAGGCGACAAAAGATTACAGTGGAAAAATAGTGTAGCAAGGCTTAGAAAGTTTAAATATCATTGTAAACAGCACGTAGGTTCTGAATAGTTTCTATTTGTGTGCTGAACAAAGACCAATGAAGACTCACCCATATAATTGTCAAGTGAACCAATCAGACACCGTTGAATTTTTCAGAAATAGAAGAATTCTTCACCATGAAGAATCAATTCTTCGCCAGAAATGGAAGCATTTGATTGGCTGAATAAGTAGGTCATGTGCTAAACATTTAAAGAAGAGGCTGTTTCTATATTTTATTTTATTTTTGTTCACTGTATTACTTTTTCATTTAAATGTCTGAGCAGAAGTAAGTGACCGGAAGTATTGTCAGCCATTTTGTATCTATGACAACTGTTAACAAACTGATGACATTGAAAGTATCTTAGCGTTTATGTTATATTGAACTCAAACATAACTATATGGTTATTAATTAAAGCCAGTATAATTATATTATAGTATTGCCATATGTAGAGTACATAATTATTTACTGACAAAGGAGAGTTAATATTTTAGCACCATGCTGAGGTGTTGTTGGTAACTCTGATGACGACGATGATGTCGATGATGTGTCGAAGACGATGATGTCAATGATGATGATGTTAATGAAGACGAAGTCGATGATGTTGTTTAGGCGCGGGAATCATTAGCAATCGTGAATCAATACTACTGATTCTCAAACAATAGTCTAGGACTACAGCCTCGAAAGTTTGGAGGATAGTGTTGATCCGAATGTGTGAACTTTCGAATTGATGTGGACAATACTGGCAATGTTGATAGGTTTGAGTTACTGAGAACACGTGTTGAAGACAGTTGATTAAAAACCTGTTGATCATTTTTTTTTCATTGTAAATAACATTTTCTTGGTACGATCATTTGAGCAAGTGTGCGTGTGTGTGATTGTGTGATTTATTAGTTTAATTGTCTTTTCTTATATTTTTTTGTACAGAAATAAATTCTTGTTTTCGATTTGAAAAGGAAAGCCTTGCTTATTCCCCGTTACAGCATACAATCAACATTTAGTTAGCTTTCACCACCTTTTAGTAAGCTTTCAACCACTTTTTAGAAAGCTTTCATCACCTTTTAGTAAGCTTTCAACCACTTTTTAGAAAACTTTCGGTCACCTTTTAGTAAGCTTTTACCCACTTTTTACTAAGCTTTTAGCCACTTTTTAGTACGTCTATGCGTTAATTTGATAAAACTGCACAATTCATTATTTCTTTTCAAAAGGTACTACTTTATATTGGCTAATCATCATTTTGTTAGAATAATACCATAAACATTTTGAATTCATGAAAAGTTAAAAATCAACTAAAAAATGACATTGACTGTGCTGTCTGAAAATGATTTAGATTCATGTAACTATTATTTTTATGTAACCATACATTTTTGTACATGTACTTATTCCATTTCATATCAAAGATAATCCATTCGTTTAAGTTTAAAAACGAAATAAATGCATTAAAATTTTACATACTTCCTTCATAAATAAAATTGACAACGCTTTCTTCTCCGTGTGTAAAGTTTCTCATTGTAACTGTTTCGTAAAGGTAAGTAAACACGTTTTCATCCTCGTCTGGATCGATCCAGTTTGAGCACTGCACACTCAGAAGAACAACCAGTGAGTCTATAATGAAAACAAATGAGGCAGAGCGTTCACAGATTTAATTGCATAATTTTTTTGCAATTTCTTTCATTATAAGTAGTATATCATATACAGTACTATTATAAACGTGATATATCCTTTTTGGTTAAATGTTGTTTTGTTCTGTTGTTCTTAACCGTGCTTATAAAAATAGATTAAGGAAATAGAATAATTCCTCAGCTGAAGCTGAATTTTCTCAAAGATGATCTTTCGGGTATATTCGAATTCGTTATCTCATTTAGATGATGATAGACAGACAGATCTAATAGAAATTGTTAGCATTTTTAATCTGTGTAATATATCGTCAAAGAAACGGGGTGCAATTTAATGTAGCTATACCCCTTAAAAAGTGTAATATAATTAACGTATTACAAAACTATCATTCATATCTAAAAACAAATTCTTCTTGTAGCTCTGCTTTTAAGCCTTATTTTTGAAGTCAATTTTTGTAAGGCTTTTAATTTTTCTTTGCGTTAAAGGAATATTTTTGTGAAAAGAAAATACAGTTTTTGCAATGCATTTTTTTTAAATTAGTGTACTTTTATCACACTATGTTGAAAGTTTAAAACATAGAATTCAATACTCAGAAACGCACAATTTGTAGCAATAGTTTTTTTTTTTAAATAACTGTTAACTAACAATTTTTTCCCATGTATATCTTTTTAAAAATGGACTAAAATATGTTTAACCTGTTTTCTGATTAAAAGAACAAGCGCCTCCAGTAGGTGGCACGTTAGTTCGTAACTTCCTATATACGTCCCCACTTATATCTGATTCGTTGTCCACCGTCATATATAAAGTCACCAGGTAGGTATTTCCAGGTGTTAAAAGGAACTTTGGTAAGACAAAACTTTGTTTACCAGCATCTTTGTATGAAAAAAAGTATAAATAATTTCAACATCAACTCAATTATCATGTTCTTAGGATAAAAATTGTGGGTTTCTACGTGCCAAAATAAGAGTTATCAAGATTTAAATACTTTATTATAAAATATACCAGTCCCAGTGACCAAAGGCAAAAACTGCAAGCCGGATCCACTTTCGTCTTTCCACAGTTGCCACTCAAACTGGACCCTGTGTTCTGGTTTACACGACGCGCACCAAGCTATCAAAGCCAATTTAGATGAAACGGCAACTTTGTCGTCGCAATTTAAGCTGCAGCTGTAAAAATTACGTAAATTAATTGTACATTTAATCAACTTTCATTCAATGAATTAAAACTGAATAAACAGACGAATCTTCTTGAGAATAATTGCATTCTTAATAGCAATACTTAATCTGCAGATCAGTCGATCCCTCTTTCTTGAATCTTGCAATTTGAGTGAAGTGGTTTTGAGAGGATCCCTCCATCACAGTTACCGTAAGAGCATAGTCAAATACTTCTGACACTGAAGAGGCCAACTGACCAACACCACGTGACACCTCTTTAACAGAACACGCGCTTGATGATGTGTCACTGAGAATTATTTTTGGTCCTCTTAGATTCACTCGGGGGATTCTGTATAACGTCAATATCAGTGTTACTTCTTTATGATCAGCAAGAACATACTTTCTTTACCTTTAATTAATATATCAGTTATTCGCGTTTTGTAAATATAAATACCTTTTACATGTCCATGAAAAGGTCAAGTTTTCATTTTCTCCAAAATCTCCATTTGCTACATAAGATTCAGTCAAGGCATCGAATAAAGAATTGTTAGACCTTATAGTATAATCTCCACCGCTGATGTACGCAAAAGGAAGGGAACTAAAGAACTGGACGTAACTGTATTCAGATATCCAGGTTTTGCTGAGGGATATATTTAGTAGAAGATAAAATTGTCCTTCTGGCAATGCATTTCTTTTAATAAGAAGTGTACTCTTTCTTTCGTCAAAAGGATTTTCATATGAGTACAATATATTTGTTTTTCCACTGCTGTTTGCTTCATATATATACCAATGAAAATAAGGTTTTTCATTCTCGCAGTAAATATGCATTCTGTTTCTAATGTACAAATCACTAGATTTATAGACTTTCATTGGATTCGTGGGTACCGAATATTGTCGATTAAACATCCCCCTTTCGTCAAAGCATGCATTTGTAACTGTTATTTTCTTTGTCATCGTTTTGTCAGCAATGTAATTTGAACAATTAACACTAATAGTTGACACTCCAATACTTGTATAGCAATATACAAAGACTAACGGTTGTGTTTTTGTAATATTCTGTGTTTTGTAGAAGACACTATCGCGATCGACAGCATCTCCCGCTTTCAAGATACAAGTAACGTATGGCCTGGGTTCCCTAGACAAGGTGCGAACTCTTAATGTTATGTCTCCGGGTGGAAGTGGATTTGGATATGGTCGAACATCAAGATATAATCTATCTTCTAACTTATAATCTGCAATCAAGGGTTGATCAAGATATACTCTTTCTCCATAACCATACACTGATGGAAAGTAAAACCCATACTCAAGATACTCGACTGTGTATATGGACACATTCATAACATTGTTGATGGCATTATAAGAAGATCCCCTGTAAATCGTAGACGAGGAGTCTGTATAAAATGTATATATAGCAGCACCTGGAATACCTTTAGCAGCAAAGGTGACGTTTGTGTACCTAAAGTCAAATTCTGTAGGATAACAACTAAATTGAATCACCCCTAATGTTATATTGCGATGTAATATGTGGGTATTATATTTAGACCCTATTTCAATTGCCATGGTATAGGTTCCACGTTTGACAAAAAATGTGTGGGTTCTTGTTTTAGAGACTAAGGGAAATTCTTCCACCGGCGAATTATCTCCAAAATCCCAAATGACAGTTATTCCAGATGGAAATCTTTCAAATTTCTTTAAAGAAATAGTAAATGTAACATTAACAGGGACAGAAACGGATCGGTAATAATGACGGTACTCCTCAGTGGGCTCAACCCGTTCCAATGTCATGTTCATGGGAACTGGAGTTTCATATTCAAACTCAAATTCAGATAGCTTGTATGATTCAACATACATAGTAGCATTGACACTTTGAGAAGTTAGGTCATTTGTGCAGGTGAAATTAACATTCTTTTGTCCCGCCGACTCATAAAAGTAAACCTTCCAGATTGGTATGCCATTAGTAAGATTAACTGATTGTGTCTCTTCCCATTCGCCATATTGAAAAATGCATCTGACGTTTGTGGGGTTGGGTTTTTCTGATGAATAATGTAGAGTCAGTTCAGATTTCCCATCAGGTATTTGTATATACTCGGTCAATGGGTATATGGATAGACTTCCATTGGGAATTGGATATTCAACCCTTATGACTTTATACCGAACTTCGGTATACATTGTATTCCAGATTGTCCATGTAACGTTGTAAATTCCAGGAGATGAGTATGAGTGTCTTAATGAGGAAAAGTAGTCGGAAAACGACTTCCAGTATGTTCCTGACTCATGCTTGTAGTTTGTCTCGTCTCCAAAATCGAGAATGAAATGAAAATTAAACCGAATTGACTTGAAGTAGAAATATATCCATTCATCCACAGCTGCTATACTTTTAACAATAAGTTCTTCGTTCATTCTGTTCCAAGTATAGACAATTTCACTTGTCCTGTAACTATATTCATCATAATATATATCTATACTCAAGGAGTGGTTGCCTTGCGTATTGCAGTACGTTTCGCATACAGATGTCGTGTTAAGACTTTTTAAATTCGAAATCCTCACATAAGTACTGCAATTTGGACCATGACTGTTATAAATCTCTATTGTAGCATTATGACTGATATTGGTCGTTTGTATATCTGCAGTGATCTTCACTTCAAACTTCTCTCCAACTTCATACACTTTTGATTCATTAAAGTTTATCGTCACATTTTCTATAATGTTGCCTGAAGTAAAAATAATTTTATTTTTGACAATTTACGAGCATCATTTTTATAGTGTTACAGAAATTTGCCCTTATATTAGTAGGTCG